TTTCAAAAAACATTTATAGTTATTTTATAATATAATATTCATGAATACAAGTATACTAGGTTTTAATGATACAGCCTAAAGCAGTTAATTCAGCCAAAATAATCATCTACCTAGTGATTTTCAATTTTAAAAAACCAATGTACATGTGTAACCATGACAACAATGTAATCTTCAAGACATGTTTCCACTCTCTTTGTAATATGCACGCTTTTCCAGATTTGATTCCATTTTATGAGGATATACACTCATGTACCAGAACACATAAAAAACAAAACAAGTAATACGAATCATCCGCTGCCAGCGATATATGAGATTCTTTCTTATTTTCCTAATGTTGCTTTGTTCTTTCCTGATTTAAGCCTGCGGGAAAGGGGCTTTCTGTGGCTTATACATCACAAAATCTAATCAGAACAAGAAAATGTCATACACATGCACATAATGCAACTGAATGAATTCAAGAATATTCGTATAACGGTATAGAAATCTTCTATGCCACATACAGAGAAGAATATTTTATTTGACACGTATATTCACAATTGCAATGTTTCAGGTGCAATGGGAAAAAAAACTAGCAGCTTCTCGGCAGAGATAGCTCTGCTGTTAACAATGCACATTTCATTTGAAGAACTGAAGACATCATTAGAAAATGTACAATATGTATAGTATCAATGCAATCGAACTTGCTGTTTTCAACAAGAATTCGAAAATGTCACTTTTTACAAAAAAATGACAAAAATATTTATCAAAATTAGAGAACTGACGATATCATCATGAAATGAGCAAACCTGAGAGAGATCCACCCGAGATACTGTACCTACATATGTATAATACCAAATATCACTCTTTACCAACAAATCTAAGAGGTCTGCCCAAGTACCAAAGCAATAAGAATTGTACATTTCAATAAGAAGTCGAAAAAGTAAAAAGTTGACATGGTCGACGACTGACAATCACTTATATGATAAGCTCCGCTCCACAAAGTCAAGAGAAGTTAGGAAGCCAGCATCTCAGACATCGCCAATTTTAGAAATTACAGACCAAACAATTTTTCAATCCATAGTCAATAAAAAATATATATTTTCAGACTAAAAATAAATATTAAGTCACTAAGTTACGACTTCTGAAAGTTGTTTCGATAACTGATGATAAACAGTGACCATATACATTAGTAAAAAAATAGTCACATGACCATGTCACATCAACAAGTAGGAACTGATTGGCTGAAATGACAATAAATAATTAATACATTACAAGTATTGGTAGAGCTGTAAATTCGTTTGTGCGCTGTACTGAGCGGTATTTATTTTAATTGTTTATTTATTTTTAATAACAATTTTATTACAACCAGTAGATGCAAGTTATAACCTTCAAATTGATTCATTCCGAGGTCATTCTTGGAGCTTTATCAGGGTCTAGGGACTATTATATGAAATATTTGAAGGTCTGAATTTGCACAAATTGCAAGGAATAACTGACGAGTTGCCTGGATTTGCCTTGATCTAATTTACTGTGGGCGACAGTAATTCAAAACATATGCAATTCTTCTTGAATCCGGACATGGCAACAATATTTGAGGTCAAAACGATCGCCAATGTTCGAAAGAGCTGAAAATCATTGAAATTTGAATGTGTTTATCACATATTTCCCCACACTTTGAGCAAATTGAAACTTTTAAATGTTTCATTCTGTCCTAAGACAAGTCACAATGGAGACATGTGCACGTTCATTTGTTTTTCTTTCCTTTGGCCTTTGATGCATATCATTTGGTTTCATGATTAGTTTGAAACTGGCCGAGTGGCAGCCATGTTGGCTTTATTTTATTGTACTGATGTTTATAAACCATTATTCAGATGAGTCTTGATTCAGATTTTGTTCAAAGTCAAGTCATAATGATATACATAATTGTACTTTGCTCAGTTTTTTCTTTTGTCATTTTTGTTTTAAAAAAAAAAAACATTTTTGAAAGACGTCAAATATTTCTCAGGCAGACTGCAGATTTCATTCAAACTTAGTATTGACATCACTTATCAAGGTTTACTCATACATGTACATATCATCTTGTTTCTAAATACAGACAGGAACTTTGTCTGAAAGTCTTTATTTATCCTTGTATGACGATTTTCATCTTATATTTCATCATATTATTATGCAATATTATTTTATACTTATTTCGGTGAACAATACATGTATTTTTTGTGATTTGGGAACTCAGAATGAACTCGCAGGGTTGCTGTCCGTATGCAGCCAGACATGAACTCTGAGCATTATGTTTAACCATTTGAGAGTGCCAAACTTTTCTCCACAAAATTAAGTGCTGCATTTTGCCAATTTGTATATATATATATTTAGAAATTTTTTGAGATACATTTAGAACAAATAGACATCATTTTCTATTGTCTACAGGTCTTTATCTTCATTTTCAAACAAATTTTAAAAAAATCATGGCTTTAATTTTGTGAATGGTGCCAAACGTTGGCTTTGGCACTAAAGGGTCAAAACATGTAGTTCTCTGATATTGCAGTCATGACATGGTTTATGGTCAATTGGAGAGCAGTACATTACACACTATGTGATGTGATGTGATTCAAACAATCCAGGCTCAGACTCCATAGCACCAGCTTTTGAGGTCATTTCACACATAAATTATGAGCGTACCAAACATTGTCATCATAGGGGTCAAAAGGTCACTGTATTTCATAAAATACATCCAGTGGTAGTGTGTGCTGTACATGATCAATTCCTGTTGTACCACCACCAACCAACCAACCCACCCACCCACCCAACCGCCCACTCTAAAAATATAGGTTTTAAAGTGACAAGCACTCTTTGGAATTTGCATTCTTTTATCAAGTTAATTATTAGGAATTATTTTCAAAAGCTTTCTTGCATAATTTAAACCCTCCAAAAATGACACATTTCAATGCATTTCACTACTTGCTCTATTTTACCCGAGTGTTTAATAAAAAAATATATGATGACACAGACAGCAAAATAGAACTGTGTTACGAACAATTAAGATATATGAAGCAACAGAAAAACTTCTTCTCAGTATCTGTTCCACAATGAATTACAGTCATGACGTCAAGAAAGGTCAGTGGGGTCAATACAAAAGTTAGAAGGATTGAGTCAGAATCTCGACTAGACTTGTACAATGCGTTTTTACTCTGACTCAAGGAAATGAAGGATCGACTATAAAGCCCTCGGAGAGCACAGACGTCTGACCAAACAGGTCTTTCCCCCACATACTGTGATTTATATGCTTAAAATAACTGCCCCTACATAATGGCATTTTATTTACAGTTTTGGATTCTTTGACCACAGAAACATACAGCCAGCATTTGCAATTATATCACCATTACTTCAATTGCTGTTTTCATGGCAACCAGATCTACTTCTCTCCCAAATTGTCCTGAAACTTGTATGAATATCCATTCATAATTAACTCCCTAAATTAATGTTTCCATGGCAACCATATTTGAATCTCAAACAAAATCTAAGCGATTGGTCAATATATCAAGGATGATCCCAGTCCCCTCCTGGAAATTGTATGTGAATTTGCAAACAGTTTGGATTAATAATTTGATTTGAATAGAGGCAACATGCATACACATGTTCAGCACAAAACCAAAGCTGAATCTATACATACCTGTATATTCAATTTGAATGGATGAAATCGTATCCCTATGTTTACGAGATCAACATTATATTACATGCATTACTATTCCAAGTTTTTTTTCTTTGCATTATGATCATTTTGTTTGGCGGTTGTGGCGGTGGTGGGGAAGGAGGTGCACATCTAAACAAATGGATTTGATTTTCAGGCTTAATACAATGACTTTCAAAAAGTACACAAACCTACTGCAGGTGAATAGACCATTTTCCGCTCTCTGCAAGATCCCACATTATGCGTGAAATCAAACGTAAAAACAGGACAACAAAGGTCATAGCTTCGTAGTGGCGACAAACATCGTGTGGGATTCGACAAACGCGAAAATATTTTGGGGGATATTTCCATACTTAATAATGTGATGTACACATTTGATGATGGCCAATTTTGATGAAGTAAGGGTATTCAAACGCAATATTCCCCTGTCAAAGATCAGCCTTTCAATGTGTGCTACGAAATAAAGAAATTTTAGTTGAAAATCAAATTGTTTGATTTTTGCGGTAAATCTTGCAGTCAAACAGAAAATCACCTATTTTTGTTTGGTTTATGGGTTATCTATCATACCGGTAATCTATTTGATTCATGTGTGGTTAACTTGTGTAGAAGAAACATTAAATTAAATGAACACAGGAAGAAGGCATGGCATAATGGCATGAACACAACATCTACTTGATATCAGCTCCAGAAGAATAGAGAAGAAATACTAAAGATATTGCTTACCTGATGCCCTGTCCCCACAAACAGCACAGACTGTCTTGTTTAACGTGTGCGAGGCAGGAGAGGTGGGTGTTGGTGGCGTAATCGGAGACTGTAACGGCCGTGCCATTCCCTGTGGTGTAATTATTGGCTTGATGTCCTCTTGTTGCATTCCCATGTGCATGTGAGAGTTCATTGCCATCACTGGGGAAGTCATTGACGACATGGCAGGAGAAAGAGTCATCATAGAGCCTGGGGAACCGATCACCATGCCAGGTGATGTAACTGAGCTTACAGGTGGATTGGGTATTGAACCCATGGAGCCCACTGAGCCCAATCCCACCTGGGGTACTTGTTGGGAGGTTATCGATGTCACCGACGGTTGCTGTTGCTGCTGTTGGTGATGGTGTGGGGAGTGTTGTTGTTGTTGGTGAAGTTGGTGTTGATGCTGATGGTGCTGCTGATGATGATGTTGTTGTTGTTGTTGTTGGTGATGGTGGTGTTGTTGTTGCTGTTGTTGATGATGGTGTTGCTGTTGTGCCTGATGGTAAGTAACAGCATCTAAACAAGAAAACAACAAATCTAATTAGTCGCATGTCTTCATCGAAGATGGTCCAAAGTTCAACAAGTATTTTCACAACAAAAACTTCAAAATTGTAAACTTGTTTTAAATTTCCAGGTTGACATGAAAACTTGTTGCATCATTCAAGCATGACACAAGTTCAAGAAAGAATTTACTGATATTTAAAGAATCGCGAGCTTTAGGTGGTTTTTCTGAAGCCCCATCACGGATTGTGTTGTCACAGCATATGTGTTACGTGACTAATTTTGTATAGGAAGACAGTGGGCCAATGACCTGCTTAACGCAATCAGTGGAGTGATTATGCAACCACACAGCTAGCCAATCTCAAAATCGTTGGTTGGAATCCAGAGCTGCTCTAAATATAGCAAACTTAACGCAAGGGGAAAATTGTACTTCCCACTGGGGTCATGTGAGAACAAGATAGTTTTGAAGAACAGTCCTTTACTTGTAAACTGGTTGTGTTGAGAACAATCAAACTTGTAAACTAGTACTACTGTAGAATACTTTATTTTCGCTTGGAATTTATTTTTGCTATTTTCACTGAAGGGATGATTCCGTGAAAATAAAATCCAGCGAATATACTTTTGTTCCTATATTTCACATTAAACTCATCAAAAATCAGTGAAAATAAATTCCAAGCAAAACGCCCAAAAAGCTTTTTCAGCGAAAATTAATTCCAGCGGAAATAAAGTATTCCACAGTATATTGAACAAAGAAAGACTACTTTCCTAGTAAATGCTGAACGAAAACAGTGCACTATCAAATGTCAGTGGACTTAGAACAAAAAACAAGCACAAAAGTCTATTACTCGAGTTACTTTAACGACGAAGATACTTTACTTCCCTTCCTATTCCTTGCTATAGTCAGGTAATTGCGAGCTAGGCAAAATGTTATATTTGATCAAAACTGTAGCATGAAAAACAAAAAAGATTTGCAAGCTTTTAGCGGGAAGCTTTATCTAGTATTTTCATCATTAGATCTTGTTTATTGAAACAGCACGCATAGTCAGCGACTTAATACATGAATGACTCGTGAGAGAAAGATAGCAATATCCGGTTCTTTATATAATAAAACATTCTTTTACTTACAAGTGAACAAAATGATACACAGGGACAAGACCTTTACATATATAACTACAACACCTATCAGACACTAATTTTAGGATACGTGTTGATGTTTGGAAAAATTCATATATATGTATTGTAGTATAGGGAGAGTTCCATTCAAGAATGGCCTGGTGAATCGCAATGTAAACTACATTGTCGGCACAGAATTCTGTGTCTCACTGATCGGATGTCTCCAGGACTTTAGTTACATTACCATGGGAGCTCACAGAATGACCTGTACGCAAGGCACAACAGCTCTCCAGACCGATTCAATAGTCTATTATTAATAGATAATTTAAAGTCTTACAATTATAAACTGCATCTAGTATAGGGCTGATAGTATACATATAATTATTATTGGTACAATGTATATAAGCCAGCTTAGAACTTGCATGCATTTTTTTCACCAAATTAATTTGTAATTCCATGAATAAATAAGTAGTAAATTGAGGCAAAGTAAATTATATAAAAATGATATCATTACTAAAGTACATACAACTATGCTAGCATAGTATATTTGTTGGCATCAGGCCATGGCAAGCATGCAGGGATTGAAATAGAATTTTTTTCCTGCATGCATAGTGTGCATGTTGAATTTGAAATTTACCTGCACTAAAGTTTAAATAAAATTTATGGGTTCTCGATTGATGCAATCATGAAAGAATTTGATTTTTTTTAGTTGTCTCACAATCTTGGTTGAACTTAATTTAGGCTTAGTGAATATAATGAGAAAATGTTGTGTTAATTTCTACATGCACAGTGTGCACATTATATTTCGAGTTTACTTGCACGAGCTAATAATCTATATGCATAGTGCAGTGTGCACCAGGGTATTTCGATCCCTGGCATGTAATTAATGTGGAAGCCATTTTTTGAGCACGTGCTCTAGTTTTGTCAGGCAAGGACAAGAAAAACAATTCAATATGGTTTATTTTATATTGAAACTCCGGAAATGGTGGACAAAATTGTCAGGATATTACATATCACATGATATAAGAAAGAAAACAATCTTTTCAGTTTCAAATCATTGATAGCTACTGTCTATATTTTTATTCAAACCAATCACAAAATAATATTCAATGCAAAAACTAATTAAATATGCTACTTCAAATGAATATTTGTAACATGGTAATTATTAAAATAAGATATACTTTCATTGTCAGTCATCACAAACTAGTGTTCCCATTTTTGCTTATATATTGCTCAAAGTTTACTTCATTCTCATTCATCTTGCTGTCTGCTCACTAGCACTTGTATTCTGTTATTAATTTTTAGTAATTATTATAAATGTATCATGTATCTTTTTCCAACTGAAATCGTTCAATTTTAGGGACAGTCTTTTAGGATATCAATGAAATGGCAACACAACTCTTACACTAAGTTTCTCAGCAGATCTACTATAGACTGGACTGGACTGGACTGTGCTGGGCTGGACTGGACTAGATTGTGCTCTCGCTGTCGCTCGCAAATGTCGTAAATTACGAAATTTGGACAAGATTTACGAACAAAATAAATATCTATTAGTAAGATTTACGAACACATTTTGTACAAAATACCCTCGCAAATCGCACTCATTTAATTGTCAAGACTCGACTGTGATCATCACGCGTGTTACGATTTGAGTGATTGCCATTTTAAAGTTAAACAATGTCCCGTTACATGGTGATCGCGATCAACACGGAACTGCCACTGAATGTATTTTTCCACTCTAAAGTTATTTTGGTGTCATAGCACATGCGTAGTTTAGTCGACATGCGTTTCAAGATACCCCGCGACATTACTCTCAGTATGGGACGGTTTCGTGTCGCCCTTATCAAACACGTGATTTGTTTATTAAAAATGGAGACTACGTCAAAAAGGAGTAGACAACTGCTCGACGAGTATTTTTCACGACGAGATGGAATCGGAACCAGAAACCCATGGGTGTCCTAACCCTGACAAACGATTTCAGAAATAATGGAAGGTTAGCTGCGGTTCCGTAGCTCTTTGGTGCGACATACAATCTAATTTTGCCCTAACAATTTCACTCGGACGTCTTGTTTTTATTTTTGTTGTTGTATGTCGAACATGGGCCAGCCAGTGTCTGTCATGTAAATAATGCGGTCGGCAACATAGGGCTATGATTCCACAGCTAATGGAACGCGAGACAATGTTAGCGAATCGATCGAAAAATACTATAATTTGTGTAACATTCTTACCGGGCATTCTTAGCATTGAGATCGAGTTACAAGACCGAAAGTTACTTTAGTTACTTTTTCACTTTAATTCAGAAATTTCGATGAAAATAAATAGTCATTTTGTGTCGTCATAAACATCAACATGCGGGTTTTGCATGATGAGCACGGGAGATTACTTCATAATAATATACAGCTTTTTGATTGGCATAGAGTTTTTTTCTGAGAAATTTCCTGTGAAAATTTATTCACAGGATGACTTGTGTTCTAGGCAGTGAACTTAGTGAACTTTTGAATGATGACTATTTTCCCCACTGTTAACAATGTGAGCTTATTATGAATATGTTTAATACTGAGTTATTCAAATAAAGGTTCTGGTGTGTACATTGCTTATTTTGTTGTGATGTTTTGTTGTACCATCATAAATGGTATATTTTGTGGAGCAGACTGCCTAATTTGATGTCATGAAATTACACACAAAATTAGAGCTCAGATTGCACCAGCAAGCACCATTTTCAGCATGCTGTTCTTGTTTTCGGCGGACGACAGAGGGGACACCTCCCTCTCCTTCTCTCTTCCCCGTTGTGCTCGGTCACGGGAAAATGCTCCGCAGTTTCCAGACAAAGTTTACTAATACTTTTTTTTTCTTGATTAGTAAATTTACTATTACCTAGCAAATTCCAGAGAGAGCCCAGGTAGACTGGACCAGACCAGAACAGACCGGAGCGAACCAGGATGGGCCAGGCCATAACTTCTAAGGAATGAACACTTCACTTGGCTATCACTAGCCCAAATCAAGACCCAAAGAAGCTAAAATATCACTCTCAGAATCCATATCATTATGAAGATATTTTAATAGCATAGCTCCCCTAATCACTCGCATTACCTAGTTTGGGAAAGCCATTTTAAGCTGCCAGGTCATTTTTCAATAGGACTGGTAGACACTACCACACATCAGCTTATTAACCTTCAAATTTAGGTCAAATCTTCTCATTGTCATCACATTGCTGCCAATTTGTACAGATTTTTACTTCAATCGTTGACCATTCAAACACAAAGAGCAGATGTCAACATGAATACATCTTATTATTCTCTGTCGTGCAAAGTTGGAAAATTAAAAGGTGCCAGATTTGTCTGACAATAGTGCCTACCTCAAGTGTTCAGAGATTTGATTGACTAAAAAAAAAAAAAAGACTAATTGACACTTGTCAGGTCTTTTTACATACTGGTGTAATACCTTCCTACTGGTGGCCTAAGGTTCAGAGTACAGTGAAAGCAGCAACCAAACATTGATCACAAAACACCATCATGTGATTATTTAATTCAACTTCCCAATTACAATTACAGTATGAAATAGAATTTTATGGTTCACATAAAGTTCCACCAAAATTTCAGTCGTGTTTGATATGAATCCCATGCCAAGTATACGTCATGTATAAAAAACAAAAACATTGTGCTTTAATTTCATCCATTTGCTAGATTTGTCTTTGAAGGCATGTATGTACACGTACGTTTACCATTTGAGAAAAAGGTAAAAGAAGAAGCTAGCATGGTCTCTGGACAAGCATGCCTTGGTCATACAGTCAAATGTGCATGTAACACGCGACTGTTATTCGCCATCAACAAGAAAAATACTGTGTTATATCACAGGTTTTTATGGTCAATGTTTTTACTCGTTGCCATAGGTGACTCATGAGAATACTGAACGTAAAAACGTGTGAATAACTATTTTATCTTACATGCAAAAGACTAGAATTTAGACGACCGACCTCAAATCATTCAAATTTACATGTGGCAATCGGGTATTTTTAAAACAGGTGCATCCAAAATATTAAAGGTTCTCTGCGCACATTTGAATGAGTAGCTAAATTGTCAAAATATCCATTATTGCGTCATTATTGTATCCAAGGCCAGCAGAGACATGACCTAAAGTCAGTGATATATTTTTCTAAGTCACATTGCATTTCCTGCTGTACTACGCGAAAGGAATTACACTTAGACGTGTTGTAAACATTCAAAACCAAACTTTTAATCACATTTTTACAGTGGTATGTATAAATTTAAATAATTGTCTAGTGCCTGTACACATTTAATTTCATTTACAAGTACACACACAAATCTCAGGGATTTTTTCAAACAAGGGAACAGCTCCCTCATGCCATGGCCGAGCGCCCACTTACCCTGGGGAGCAGAATCTCTGGCAACCATAAAATTCTGATTGACCAGAGATCACATGTGGCCAGTCTTCAACTGTAACCTGTCTGATAGTAATTTTGGCTCCAAGGAAGCCATAGAATGCTCCATTTTAACTTAGAATTATCAAAAACTCCACACCCTGGTAGGGAGAACCCTATCTCACACACTTGGTGGCGCAGCTGAATTGCAGTGCTCCCTCTTGCAATTTTTTTCTAGAAAAACCCCTGAATCTGATAATTGTCAAAAGTCGACAGTAATACTGAAGTCCAGAAAATTTTTATTATTTTTCTCTGATTTTCTCATTGCAATTTAACTTTTTCGCATCCATATACAAAATCTAGTTATTATATTATACTTATAGTATTCTGTTATGTATTTATTAGTTACATATTTATGTTTATTTTTTTTAATATATATATATATATTTTTCTTGTAGCAGACTAGCTCGTATTGCACTGAAATAACAAATTAAAAAAATATAATAACATGGTATAGAAGAAAGCAGGTCATTAGAAATAATTCCTCCGAACAAAGCAGCAAATATCAGTGAATGACTCCCTTCTTAACAAAATTAGCACGAGGCACGACCTTCGAAACATGACTAGGTCAATAGGGTCACTGTCCAACTGGACTGGCACAGATAGCACCAAAACTACCTGTTAGAACCGTCATAGGAAAGGTACAAAGATATGATCACTGGTTATCGTCTCGCAACTGAAGTCTACTGATTAAAAAAAATGTGCATCTATTTCTAAAATACAGACATTTTAATTGACCATCCTTGGTAATTGATCATGTACGTTTTAAGTATGGTGACAATTCGCGCAAAAAGTATTACCAGATGAATCAGAAATAATCCGCAATTAGAACGAAAGAGAAGGGGTGGAAACATGCAGAATCAATCGGGCTTGCACGGTGCGCACATGTAAAAAGCCGGACAACAGCTGAACAGTTCTGCGTTTATATAACTAGCGTCTTACTTCTTTGCAACAAAAATAGCACATGGTGACAATTGAAAATGTAGTAATAAAAAAGTACACAAGAAATTAGCTTAATGTGCGATTGCCCAACAAGTTGTTTACAAAACCACAAATCGCCCGAAGACTGAACTAATGACCCCGACTAACATTTGCCATACTTTATTTTCACGACCCCCACCATTATTGTAAATACTTCCAGAAGAACGACCTTCCGAAAACCACGCTGCTTGTAATGTTTTTCTTATTAAAATTGTCTGGTCAATTCATTCGATTTGCAGTCCTCAATTGAACACGTTCTTATTGACGTTGTTGTTGTTAGAATTAAATCACAATAGATTACATAACGTATGGAAGAGCCCAAAAGTTGCCAACGACGCGCAATGAAAGGCGATGGTATGGTGGGTACAAAAAAGTGGGTTCATTTAGGGACAGCCACCATCCACAAAATTGGTCCAAAACGCGCTGCTCAACAACAAAACCTCGGTTCGTATTGACATCGTACAATTTGATACCTAGGCCTAGGGTTAATGAACTTTAAGCATGGATTGACCAACATTTCGGAAGGAAATATGCTCAAAAGGCGTCAATTTTACCTCACATGACCCCACAGAGAATTTCGCATTGAGCGATCAGCGGCTGCGTACTTCGTGTTCGAGTCGACTCAAAACCCGCGATATCGACGTAGACATGCCATGTACTCACCTAGATCGGTTATGTTGTCCATCGTGGAACGCACCTTCAAATCTCTAAATGAACTTACTGTTTCCAACGGGTGGAAATCTGGGTCGAAAATCAACCAGACTCCGTGGAAAGGCAGATTATTTTGAGACTCGCAATTCGTTTACCCCGTTCTGTGAGTCCCCGCAAAGATAAAACGCAATACTACCCATGATGCATTACGATTTTTCAAGGTCATTGGCTGATTGGCCAATCGCTTGTCTACCATGTTTCCAGACTAATTTACATATATCGATAATAGCTATTTGCGTCATCACAGGCTGAATTCTACCATAGTTAGCCATAGGCTTCCTTCTATTGTACATAATAATATTCAAATTTCTACTGCAGTAGCCACGAACAACATACAGTCACAAAGACCAAAAAAAAAAAAAAAAGAAACAGTATAATCTACGCCATATTTCATAACACGTCAGTACCTGGCCGGCATTTTGTTGTCACTGCTGTTAATTCGTAATATTTGTTTGTTTCGTGTATTTGTCGTTTTTATTTTAATTGCATTTAAATTTTTATTCATTTTAATATGGAAAAAAAACGAAAAAAAAATGTTATTTACTTAATGAATGCACTTTTTTGTTAACATATCTGTCACGTTTTCACCATAGTTCCCAAATTGACTATTACGCACAACAAAAAGGCTGTCAGTACGATTTTAAGTGGAGAACGACCTTTAGTAGACAATGGTCACACCGTAAACGATACGTTCCAGCATGGATGTACTAAGTACTACACACATCGTGGTCGCTATCCGCACTAACTACTGAAGGGCAGTTCATGTTCGTAGCAAAACAACGTCATGGTCCTACTACGCGGTCTGGACATTGGTGAGATAAATGTAAGTTGCAACTCGGGTAAAGCACATGATATGAAAACAACGTGACGTCACTGTAGTGCAGGGTGAAAGTCGATAGTAGGTCATATCCCGTGATGCAATGCAAATATTACATGTATACAGAACACGACTGCGTTCGTCGTTATGAGGGTCACCGAGAGGTTAAAACGAGCTGGCACATCCGTGGATATCAGCAATTACCAAGATAGTACAGTACATGTTGGTAAAAAGAAACAAAAACAAAAGAAAATTAAATTTTGGTCAAACAGAGAAAATGTCGACCCTTTACTACTGTGAGTGGATGGACAAGAAAGTGTTGCTAGTCTCAGTGCATTTCCCCATTGGAAAGATATCTAAATATCTCAACGTCCTGCAACGTGCTGATATAATTACAGGCCATTGACAAATTATTTCGCCGTTCCACATAGCTTTTCTTTAGTGTATTCAATGTTATTGGAAGCTTTAGATATGTGAAATATGGTGCGTCATAGGGGCCACATTTATTATTCGCACTATATGCGGGCAGATGCTTTCAAATTCAAGACCTAAACCCCATATTACCGAGGATTTCCGAATAGTATCCTTTTATCGCGATTTAGCTGCTTTCAGTGTCTCACATGTGAACACATCACAAAGGCGGTGGTCGTTGTTCACCGAGCGTTCGAATTGTGTCGTAAATCAATGTATTTTACCCCGCGTTGTATACATCGCATAGAGGGACGCTAATGGGACCCAAATCGAACACGAGGCGCCATGATTAGTCATAACGATATTATATTTAATAATAGGCCCGGGCACATATGAACGTGCTGATAATATATACTGACATGTGAACATTCGACGTTCCGTTCCTTGTCCCGTCTTGCAACATTACTACTATTGAATTTCCTTTCACGTGACATACACGAGATTGGGCCAGAGAAAAGAGACAACCACTGAATGAATGTAGTTTATTAGGGCAATCTGAATACAATGACCCTGTAAAAACTCCTGCATTGAGGCGTGCGATAAAAGCGCCCTCAACGTCCATTTTAAAAGATTTGACATACGAACTACACAAGCAAATGTTATGTACTAACGCGGGCACCAACCCATTCCTTTCATTTTTATGAAGATTTTAAAATTTACGATTTAAACTGAAACGAGAGTTTTTTTTATTGGTAGATAGAATACAATTGGAATTAATGAACATTTATAAAAAGGAAAGAAATGGGTTTGTGGACCCGATGGTATTTTTTATTTTGACGCTACAGAAACGCTTCGTTGATGGAGATGTATACGACCGCTTTGTTCCTAGAGACCGCGATACGTATTACCATATTTAAGTGTATCAATTTTTCCAAATAACGCAATTCCTGGGTGTTTCAGGTGTTTGTGTATCAAAATAAGTGATTGACAATTGTTTGTTTTACTTTAATTTCATAACTGCTATATTTTCATATTTCCATAATGTGGTGGCGTGGTTTCGTCTGTCGGAGGTGTGTCATCTCTGTCGGTATCTTATTCTCCATATTTTGTGTGATTTCTGAAGTAAAACTGGGATTTTTTAACCACATTGCTAAGACGCGCACCACTGTACCACGTATTGTATTTCTATGGGCTCTGCGCGAGGTGCTGTGGTACGCCGGTCGAGGAGCCAGTAAAATAGCTAAATTTGAGAAAACATCATAAACTCAACTTTGAAGTAATCCCGAACAACCGAATTTATATATTTTACACACGCAGGTGTAATCTTGTTACACTGTTCAGGGGAGTCTCAACAATCATCCCAAAGTACCATTTTCTGAGAGATTTCGACCTTTGTTTTCACCGTGAGGGTTGCCAGGCGGTGAAAATGCCCGGATGTCCGCCTCGAGAATACCTTCGATAAGACAATGACAATCTTTTATACGCATGCGCACTGGTGTTTTGGTACGTAACAATAACATCTGATTTTTCATCTAACCAATATTGTTGTTTGTCCTACAAAAACAACATGTTTAGTTTAGGATACATCATGATAATACTACTTTCATTATGGAGAATCGAACACAATATTAAAAAATGTATGTTCTTTTACCCCATATTGCACTAATAACATCCCGCATCTTCAACATATTTATTATTCATTTGATACTTTTGTGAATTGAACAATACATGTTTAGCGTAAAATGTTCGGGAGAATGTAATTTCAACATCGCTGCTGAAAGTAAAAAAAAAATCGAAGCAATGAATATATTGGCTCTGTCGTAGAATGATCAAATCTGTTGTTTTATGCCCCCATCGTCCACACAGCTATCAGTAATAACATATACTAGATACACTTATTTATGTACAATTCTAAGCTTAGAGTCACCAAATTATACAGGTGGAAGTACACTGCTCCAATAGAGCACTCTTCCGATGAATAAAGTACATACATTCAGACTTCGTGTGATGGTAGATAACATCAAGGTCTGAGCCATATTTATAGCAAGCATTACAATAGTTTGTAAACCGCGAATGGACGGGCTCAAGTCATCGGCATACATCACATGGTTGATACAAAAACACACCCACGCAACAGCCCGCTTTAGACGACTTTAAACGACCACTGAAATTATTAATATAGACACTGAAAAGCAAAGGCGAAACAATGCTATCTTGCTGAACGCAATTTTTAACAGAAAACAATGTAGAATTTCCCCAAACGGACAGTAAACAGCAGTTTGTTGTTTAACTTTTCGGCACAATACCAGTAGGGTTATAGGCTAGAATTTGAAAAAAAAAGAATGAATGAAAAAGAAATGTACTAGAATCATAATTGATGTGAGCCGTCACCGGTGCGAGTGAACAATGTTTTTGTTTTTACTAATCTCACCTGTTGTACTGGCGGATCGCAGAAACGCAATGTTTCACGGAAAATTCGTGTTGAACAGCGTTGAACCAGCTATATACCCCCCCCCCCAACCCATTATCATACCCACACACAAAACAGTGCTCCAGTCCCCAAGATTTCAAATTAAAGTGTTTTTATAGTACACCATACTAAAAATACATGATGAGTATGACCTTTGTATCTTTGATCTGTCCATACAGTTAATCTATGATCTGCCCAACCAGCAAGACGCTGAATCCTAGTATGGCACGCCCCGCCCACTGTAAAGTAATTGAATAGATCCACGTTCAACAGTGTTCATTACGTCTACGACGATCGTAGCTCATGGTTGTCGTTTGTTGAGCTACTGGATCTGCAAAATAGGTGAGAACAAACTTTTATTTTAATCTGTCACGATATGCTGGATGGCCACTCATCATATCAGTTTAGATTTCTGTTCAAAGTTTGTTTTATGCCGACGGCTCGAATTCCGGAATATAATCTTTCGTTTTGGAATACTAGTAGATCGTAGAGGTGTATTTCTATTTCGTGACGTATGCCCGGCCATGGAGGTCAATCTTCCCGGTGGCAAAACACTGTAACACAAGGTTAAATGCACTAGCACTTAAATCACTAGCCTGAGTGCCAGTACTGTACGGTGCCTCTACAATTACAAAACTGACTATCCCATGTGTCAACCGGATGGTAAGTGGGGGCTCATTGTGGTAAATATTAGAGGTTAATACAGTCTGAGATAACTGTGCACGGTCACTAAAATGACATGGCACAATGTCTTTCGATTTTGCTCTGCATGACTGTGTATGTTCCATGGTATTTCTGTTCTGTTGTCCCTATTTATTTATTTATTTATTTATTTATTGCTTCCCTTTTGTAACAGGGGCTCACTATGTAAACTAGGAGCTGCATATTGCCTTGATATAAAAACGTCTTTACTGCCTGTGCAAAGGTCACACAGCTTGGCGCCAATATGGTTTATATTCCCTGACCTCAATATGATTAATTATTTACTGACTTTAAGGGATAGACCAATATAAATATTGGGAGGGGGAGTGAATTTATAATCTGCATATAATAAGTATACACCAATGAATTATTCCATGAATATAATATTACAAAAAACTAAATTTAATACAATCTGTTGAAAATTTACAGTCAAAATATCATTCAATATAATTCCAATTGTTTTTTTGGGGGGCATTTTTGGTCCCAATGGAATGAAACTAATGACTGAAAGAAGGAAATTAAATTTTTAATTGGTCCCAATTTTTGCGATGTAGTCAAAAATTTAAAATACATTATAATACTATGAACTAAATTTAGTATTCTCATTGGTAGATCAGGATCACGTGCATACCACACAGCGTTATATTGGAATTGGAGAAACGTCTAAAAGCGATTAATTGCGATTATCTTGCCATAGACTTTTTTTGGGGGGGGATTCATTATTGCTTAAATAACATGCCTCAGACTGTCACAGTTTCACCAATTATTGTGCACATCTCCATTCTTGCCCTGTTATCATGCAATAATTGGTGGAGTGTCTGCTTTTATTTCCTAATTGTATTAACGACTTATAATATATGCAATGCTGATCCCATGACGTGATTATGTCAGTATGGGTAAAACATTTGCAGTGCCTTCCCAGATCTCACCTGCTGATTCATCAAATAAGTTTGTCACAAGACTTATTCTACATTTTATAGTAAATACATGTATCACACAGACAAGACTGATCACCTATTTGAACAGGAATAATTGTATTTGTTAATGCCAAGCCAAGGTAATTCACCATAAAAAGTATATTGCTACGTATAATATTATTTTCTTTTTATTTATTTATTTAAAATTTATTTATGTTATCATTATGTAATATGTCCTTAATATAATATTTATTCCAACTATAAATTTATTTAAAATGCTTCCCAGCTTTTATCACTGTCCAAGGAAAAGAAGGCAGAAATGTACAAACAAAATTGTAAAAACGGCTGTATAGATATTTAATTTCGCTATGACTATGACAGCACTGCCATTTCATGTGTTTACAGCGTTTTAACACTATAATGTACATGATACAGGCACACATAAATTGGTGTCAAATTTCCCATTATTAGTTTATTACATCACAGCACTTAAAGATGGGGGGCGTCGCACAGATGTTACCAAACATTTCATCCCAGGTCAAGAGTCGTACTTGTGATCCATTAGAAGAGCGCATTGAATTGTGGGAAAATCAATGTTTATCAACACAAATGTTTCACATGCTAAGTGCGGCAATGACATCCTTTGACACTGATATTAAGGAGACACACCACTGGAAATTAACCATGTTAAAGTTTTTATTATAACATGTGATATTTGACAGGATGATGAAAATAATAGACCATCTTACAAAATTCGTAAAAAGCATGTGTTCAAAATGGAGAAAAAATTAATAACATGTTATTTTTTTCTACCAAATGTATGATAGTATTAATAAAAAAGACGTGGATACTATTTGCTTTTTTAATTAACATGGTACTGTACAATGACTTCTTTTCAACCATCCCTGAATTCTTCAAAATTGATTGGGACACTGTCTATTTTCCATTCTATGTCCATGTGTTTAATCAACATGTCAACACAACATAATAATTTCCATGGTGTGTATGTTTATTATTTGACCTCAATTCATTTCATTACCATGGAGGATACAAACTCAAAACTCTACAGTATTTGCTCTATTAGTAGCACATACATTTATATGGTCAAAATAGGTAAACATTATTGATTTGTTTACAGCAAATGCAATTTTACGTTTTTTATGTGCTTTCACTAGAGATACTGTTCTAATAGAGCAAATACGGTACATATACAGATAACTGAACTTGTTTCCATGGAAACAATGATAACCCCTATCTTGACAGCCATTTTGAATTGAAAATTAGTCAAAATGCATACATTAAAAAATTCGTGAAAAGATAATTACTGCAATTTCTATCTTCAGATATTCATCTAGTTACAGAGAAAAACTTACCATACTTCCAGTATCAAAAGTGTTGGCTCCTTCAGTGTATCTAAAAAGCAAAAATACTACTGTGAAAGGATTAATTATTCACTGGGTTTTAATTTTGCTCATTTAGCTGATCGGAAAATGAGCTAAATTAAAACCCACTGAATATGTAAAATTAAGCATAGAACACATTATCTAAATGATAAAACCGTAAATGTAAAACCCACTGAATATGCCTGAAATGGTAAATCAGCGAAATTTAAACCCAGTGAAAATTAGTCATTTTACAGTAGTTCATAATATATAATCCATTGTAATATTTATGTGCACTCTGTTGTCCTAGTTAATCACACATGTTTTCCGTCACATTCATTCATTTACAGTGTCCAGGAAGTACTACAGATACACATGTCAATAATAAAGTTGAATAATCAAGTTGTGTAAACAGGTATATTCAAAACCCAAAACTTAGAATATTAATATTATTACATTGATACTGAAAGATCTATAATTGATTTGTAATCAGATAATTTTTTTATGAAACTTGCAAAAATTCACCAGAGTATACAGTCAATAGAGATATGTTTATGTATTTTGAAAAAAAAAGTTGTTGTACCTAAATGCTAGTATATGTTTGTGTTCGTTGAATACAGTTTTGTGAACAATTTCACTACTGTAATTATTCATTGAACACATTAAGTACCACTTAACTTATTGTACGGTAACTTATTACAGACCCCCTAGTCCCAGCAATCTTAGATACTGTATTTATTCTATTGCTTTTAACATTGTAACAACAATTAAATCATTGGGTGTTAGTACACACATTGTGTTCATCTGAAAACAAACTTTCAACTCACTGCTGAATAATTTAACAACAAAAATTTTGCTAAAAAAACATTTTTTTCACCTATTTGTTAACATTTTTGTTTTGTTATATAAACCAAAAATTGCATTTATTTTTTACTTTGTTATTAAAATATTCATACTTTAACCTTTTTACATGCACTTCTAATAGAGCAAATATAGTATCAATGTGAATTATGGTAAATTATGTTATATCAGTCTATATATATATATATATATATACA